TGACTCTTCAGACAAATATATTGCCTGAAGATTCATTTTTATCCTCTTCCATTACTATTCTGAAACTGATATAAGAYTGGTGCTATGGTCAAAGCTCAGACATACAGGTACCTAAGGGTTTGGGTTGGTGTCCCCATCAAAAAGGGAAAACTTAAAAAAAAAAAATAACCAGAAAAAGAAGTTTTTGAAGTGATCACTGCAACTAAAACATGATTACAATGCTAAGCTACATATACACACAAATTGCAAGATACAGGCTACAAAATTAAAGACTGTAAGCTGGTGACTGACAACTGTGCTTGAAACAATGCTAGTYCTTGTAGACCATAAATTCATGAGGAAGCTCTGAATCAGTAGTCTTGTGCCCACTTTAACTCCAGAAATATACATCCACCCCTTTATTTTCCAAAACTTGTGTTAACTRCATTGCCTTATAAAATGGGAAAGGGCAAGTTTAGATAGTATTTTCTCATTTGAWAGATTCCTTCTAATTTCTTGAGATATTAACCCACAAATATATGAATAACAGAACGATACCAAAGCATTTATAAGTTTTAAGTATGACTAATATGACTATTTCCGTAGCTAAAGTATGATCGCTTTTTCCTTCATACTCACTACCCAGCATGCTACCACAGTATAYGAAACACATGTGCTGTCCAGGGTAATTTACTGGTGGCATGTAGCTGGAATAATTGTGCAAGGGAAGAGTTAGTTTTGATGATACTTTTTGGATCACATGCACATGTTTTCCTTGAACTTGATCMGATTCATTTTTCAAAGGAAAAAGTCAAGAACATGTATATTAAACTTTGTAAGTGAACTTGTGCATCTTGGGGTACATCATCATGAAATGAAAAAAAAAAAAAGCCACCACCAAAAAAACCCCGAACAATTAAAGCTAACTGCACTTACCCAATATAATTGGGTGGCCTGGCCTATCAGTGGAATATTGTCTCTATATTTGATCTTAGGTGCTAGAATCCTAAATTAGTTAACAAAAATTAAACTGCTATGAAAACAAGCCACAAGACTCAGCATGGTGTAGTTTCAAATAACATGAGCTGCTTTTTCTTCTCTAGAAGATGCCATGTGCATACTAACTATAATAACTCTGCATTTGAACTAAACAAACTATAGGCATAAGTGAGCTTCATTTAACATGGGGAGCATGAAGGGAAAACAATACATAAATACCAATACATTATAGATAACTATAACCTCTCTGAGGCTTTGGCAATCCTGTCAGTCTAATGAGACTGATAAGTACAGCAGCTGCAAAAATGGGTATTTTATTTAGTAACTCTGTATTAACCATCTTCCCAAGGTATATTTAAATTTCAGAGGTTTTCATGAACACCCGAAATACCTGAGGAATATTTCTCTCATTAATAAGTATTTATGTCCCCCTGTACCAATGTCAGGCCATCTAAAAAATTGCTTCAATTCCTAAGGAGATGCTAGAATACCTTCAAAAAAAAATCAAGCAGCCGTAAATAAATGAACATAACYACTACATCTAAGAAAGCAACACACAAGTCACTAAACTCTGGGCCCTAGTCTCTATATGGATTTTTTTTTTTTAATATGACAGAGCTGGAGCAGAATGCTTTTGCTTCCCCCTTATGGTAAGTTGAAGAGTTCTCTAGGAGGAATGCTTTAAGCTGAAATATCCGGAGTGTCCACATAACAAGGAAACAGATCACCGACCTTTCAGAGCTGARTAATGAAGAGCTGTGGTACAGAAGGATCTTCATGTCACAGTTTCAGAACCTGCTCATTGCCCTGCACTGGCCCCTTCCCCAGAGACCTAAACTAGAACTTCCCACATATTATAGTGATGCCCAATATTAGTATCTACTTATCCAGCAATAGATTATTCTTCCAGAAAAAAAAATGTTAGAGTAGGTACAAGATTCTCAAATTGTCCCAAAATTATGAATTTGTAGTTTTATTCATTACAGCACCATTATCTCAACCACAGTATTTTGATACTTAAACTGTATTGTAAAACTACAAGAAAAAATCCTATTCCTATATTTGCTAAAATAACAGCTTTAAGTTATAATGTGACTTAACATTTTTTAAATTTGAATCCTGACATATCACAGGAAGAAAATTTCCTGTCTGTAGAAGTTCAGTTGTAGTAATTGACAAGTGCAGCCAAGTAAGTTATTATTCTTGCAACAGACTGGCAGGAAAGATAGTGTTACACTCCTGCTACAATTTTATGCATCTGCAAATTATAGTAAACCAGAGCTGGCTTATTTCAAACTGRGAATGGATTTTGTCCCTATGTTTTCAATATCAGAAGCATTCAAGTTATCACAGCATGAAATAACAGGTTTTTAATACTGCAGTGGATTTTATGCTGTGGAAATTGCTACATGATGCAGTGGTGACATGTTTATATAGAACACTCATAGGAAAGATTACACAAATCATGCATGTCAGCAAAATGGAAAGCATCTGTTTAGGCTGTGGCATGCTGCTAAGGCTCTCTTGACTGCCAGTTTGTGATATGGTACACAGCCCAGTTGGAGTCACAACAGCAAAACGGTGACAGATTTTCATGTCACTGCCTACTGCAGAAGTTGGGCAGCCTTCCGATGGTAGCTGCTAACATAAAAGCGAGATCACATCACCTGCACTCTGCATGGAGAACAGGCAATTAATCTGATGTCAAATGTTTCAAGGGACAGTACTAGAGCCCTATTTTCAGTTTTTATATAGAAAAACACTGAGGCTTGATTAATGATCAAGGGATGAAAAAAATTTTCCCCTGAACCACATTAAAAAAAAMYWAAAAAAAAACAACATACCAAAACCTCAGAAAGTACAGACACTCAACTACTGAAGAAATACTACATGCAAGATCCATGCCTTTACAAAATCCATTTACAGCTTTTTGGACTAAACACCCTCCAACAATACTTAAAAGTCTACATAATGCTCCAGAGCATTAGCTTTGCTTTTGGACCACCAGTTAGCTGACACGGAAAAGACTAGCTGTATAAGACTTCACACATCTAGACACATTGTTCTATTTAAGTCAGCACTGACTTGCAYCAAAAAAGTTGGCTTAAAATCAGCTGATTCAGATGATATCTTATGAATTAAGTAGTATTATTTTCAACAGAAGTCCACCCACTATTGGTCAAGCCAACCTTTTCTGGGATCATGAAGGGGAATACAGGGAAAAGACCTCTGCCAGCAACWAAAATAAAAGGAAAAGCAAAGCAGGACACAAAATCTACAGGAAGTTTACATTTGAATAGATTCGCAATTAAATATAAAGGGTGTTGACTGCTTCTTTAAAACTTAAGCCAAGATCTCAAGTTCCGCAGTCCAGACATAGMTATACCTTCTCAGAATAATTTTTTTCTTATTTTTAAAATTAMAGTGAGTTCACACTAACATTTAGAGATGAACAGAACTGTTATAGAAACCCAATCACAGCAATACTAGACTCTAAGTTTAGTTTTCTATTGCTGTAAGAGAGTCAGAACACACAGAGTGCTTTAAAAAGGTCTCTGAAACTGTTATAAATAAGTGTATGACTTAGGCCTGAAGGAAGAACAGCTGGAGAATTTAGGATCCTCCCATATTTTAACTCATGGTGATGTCATAATTTAGAGTTCTTGGAAACTGTCAATTCAACATTTAAGCTACATCAATAACAGTCATTAAATCTACTACACATCTCTATTGGCTTGAGCACCAATTTAACTTTTAATAAAGGGTGCACACAGAACTGTTAATTATAATAAGTCACATGAGCCCTCTCACAACCTCTAAGATTGCTTTAAAACATGTACTTTCAGAGTTTCAAAACATACTATCTCCTGTGCACTGAAGTTTAAGCACTCTCTGCAAGCTTTACAATACATTGGAAAGAGACTACTCTGCCATTAAGTGTTTCACAGTGCAGATTTGAAGGGGCTCCTTTAGGGTTATGAAACAGCATTTCATTTCCATGTTAAAAAAGTTTGGTTTGGGAGGGCCTTCTAAGTTCTGAAGATGAAGCATTTTACAAAATTTTATTATGAAAAGGTAAGATCAGTCAAAGAAGGTTTAAGTTGAAGTATATTTCAGATTGCTTAATCCTTTCATTGTTATGCAAGTGTATTTCATAACCTTATTTGAGGAATCAAAGAACAGTTTTAATACTAACAATGGTCTCAGTCTGACAGCTAATGCTAAGCCAAGTGTGCATCATGCCCTCCTTCAACACTCCAATTTATRTAACTCCACACCACCATTGGTTTAAAAATAAACTACACAGGAAAACAAGGTTTAGATGGACAAAAAGAGTAAGATCACATACTTGATCTCCTTAATTAGCATCTGCCAGCTGTAGAGACAATGCCATCCCAGAAACCATAGTAAAGATTTTCTTACTTTTACAGGCAGCCCCCAGAGAAAGCTATGAGGACAAATATGCAGGATTCCTGAAAAAGTGTTCTTGGCTTGATTCTTGAGAAATCTTTTTCGCCTTTCCTCTCAGCCTTCAAAAGGAACAATTTGCCTCCAAGGCAATTCAAACAACATTTTCAGCAAGAGTTTTAAAGATTTTTTCCAGAAGTGTGTAAGTTTGCTTTTGCAACTTTCATTAAAGCAACATCTTAAAGCTGCTACTATGCAGAAGAATATGTGAGGAAGACTGAGMAGCCATTCATTAACAGTAGCAACCCTTAAGCAGATTCAGAGATTATTTCTTGCAAAAGATTTAACATCCAGAGCTACAGAAATGGCCATAAGACTTAGAACTCTGGATTCTAGGAGGATACAACTGATTTAAAGCTATTTGTTAACRATCTTAATGTGAGCATTCCTGTTAAACAGAATAGTCAGTTCAAAAGAAGAAATCCCCAAAGCAGTGATCTGGCAAGTGGAAAGAAGCAAGTGCAAAACTCAAGGAGATAGGAGTTTGGCAACAGCAGTTCATTTTCCAAAATAAATTACAAAAAAAAAAGCAATAGAAAGGAGTTTATAGTTACCCAGAAATGTGCGTGACAGTTAACCATCATGGTCCTCTCAATAAGCTCATCAGGACACTCCAGAAGATGGTGCCCGGAGACCACACCGGCGTTGTTAACTAGGAGAGACACCTCGCCAACCTCCTTGCGGACCCTCTCAGCTGTCAAGTAGACATTCTCTCTTTTGCCCACATCACAGGTGTAYGTGTAAACCTGCAAGTTGCAGTGGGGCAGCACATCTTTCTCTCCATCTCCAGCTACTGAAAAACAGATAAGAGAACAGAAGGGGTGGGGGGCAAAGTTCTTGCTCATATTTTAACATTCAAACAAGTAGTCAGGAAGAAACAGCAAATACAATTCCAAACCACCGAAACTTCTATTTACTTTGGTGTCACYGCAGTATACCAGGACTCGGCTATTTACTATCGCTGCTAAGTGCTTTAAGAAAAGCTGCAGGTTTTAAAGCCGCTGCTGAAGTCCGAGGCTCCCCGAAGCAGGTCTGAGCTCACCGCTGCGGGCACAGGGCCGGCTCCGGATGGCAAAAGCACCGTCGGGGGKTCCGATTCCCCTGCGCCCGGCGGGTACCAGCACGGAGGCGCTCTGAGGGCCCGCCGCAGGTGARCTCTGCTCCGGGCTGGACCCGCCGGGCGCGCAGCCCCCGCTCCCTCCGYCCCGGGCCGGGGCCGGGCAGGTGAGCGGCGCGGGCGGCGGGGACAGCGCAGGGAGCCCACCGCTTACCTCCGGGGGCGGCGGCGGCCGCCTCCTCGGCCATCTCCCGGTAGATGTGCCGCACCATGCCCGCCGTCTCCTCGTTGCTCTGCGTGTTGATGTCCCACAGCACCAGCAGCGCCCGCCGCCGGGCGAACTCCAGGGCGAAGAGGCGGCCCAGGCCGCTGCCCGCCCCGGTGATCAGGCACACCTGCCCCGCCACACTTTTCTCTTTGGGCCGCACCAGCCACTTGGCCGCGGCCAGCACGAACGCCCACAGCACTCGGAAAGTCACCACGAAGAACTCCAGCAGGATGTTCATGCTGCCGGACCGCGGGGCGACCCGCGGGGCCGGTGGCGCGGAACCTCCTCTCTGCCCGGCTCCCCGACCTGGAGCCGCCGCTGCCCGGGACCGCCCGCTGCGGGCACCGAGGGAGGCTCCGCTCACGGGGGTCCCGCCGCCGAGCTCCCCCTCTCCGTGCCGCTCGCCCTCGGAGCCCCGCGCCCCTCCTCGGTCACACACGCCTAGGACGGAGCCCGGACACGGCGCTGCCCACCCGCCGCCTCCCCGTCCTGTCCCGTCCCGCCCGCGGCCCCGCTACTGGCAGTGAACATCTTGCTCGCTCGGCCCCTCTATATAGGGCGGACCGGGCGGCCGAGCCCCTCCCCCGGGCCGGCCCATCCCGCCCCGCATTCCCGGGACCCCCCGCCCCCGCCCCGCTCCGCCCCGCCGCCGGAGGAGGTTCCCGACGGCAACGGGGACGGGACGGCCGGTGCTTCGCGCTGCTCGGGGCGGGCGTCCCGGCGGCTCCCGGCGGCTGCAACCCGCCCCAGCCCGCCTCCGGCGTGCGGACTACAAGTCCCGGGGTGCGCCGCGCCCTGCCGGAGCGCCATCTCGGGTGCGATGCCCTAGCGCGGGTTCGAGGAACACGCGTGGCGTTAAAGGTTCGTGCTCGGGGCTAGAGAGACGCGGGGATGCTGGAAGCGCTCAGGAGCCGCCGGGTCCCCGCAGGATGCCCGATACCCGCGAGCCTGGGGTTCCTCCGCTGAGCTGGGAGRAAACGCTGAAGAAAACCCCGATGGTTTCTTGGTGTGTCAGCCAAGTACAGAGGTCACTGATATCTCACCCGCCACTGACTGAAGTAGGAGCTCACAGGTGCCAGCACACGGCAAGTATTTTCTTCTGTGCGATTAAACAGCGGCCGCTCCCTGTAGCTGGGCAACCTGCGGCCACCCGGCGCCGGAGCATCCCACTCCTGGGCATTTCCCAGTTCCAGAGGATGAGGACCAGAGGGTGCCCTTGCGATTTCCCACGCGTGGGTGTGCAGGATTCCTCCCACTGCCTCTGCCCGCCTGCAGCCGTGTGCCAAAGTCCACGACGCTGCGCTTTCTTCCCTGTGCAGCCGCCAGTTTGAAGAAAAGTTTTTGGAACTTTGTGTTTGTGAACSCTGCCTCTCGGATTGAACAAAAATTAGAGTTCAAAAGTTTTGCAAGAAAGCGCGGACAACCTCTTTCTTCAGTAGAAATTGCAGGTGTTTTTGCGTGCTGATTTTAATTTCCCCCTTTTATAATGCTGCTAATGATATCAAGTGATACAAGCATTTGTATCAGCGTAAAATAACACTATTGTAAAAAAAAATGAACATTGATACACCTGTAACTAGGACCCAAAGCACTCTCAATAAGGTTCTCAGTGCCATCCGACATACCTGCGTGTTGTTAATTGGCAACGAATAAAGGCAGTAAGCGCAGAGCTCGGCATTCCTTATCCCTAGCCCTGCTATCCATACCTTTTTTTTTTTACACCGGACAATTATTTGCTGCTCAGACTTCCACTAATTTCTCTTCTTTATGTATGTGTGTAATGATGTGCCGGTGTCTCCCTGGGTGATTTTAGCACRGGTAGGCGCGCACAGGATCAGACCCACAACCTTAAGCAGCCTTCCAAGCTGCTGTGCTGGGCTGAGCTGYTTCCCGAGCCGCCCTCCCTTCTCCACAGTGCAGTTACTGATTCCGTATGGCGAACCGAAAAGATGCCCAACCTAAGGAAAGTGCATCCTGGCAGAAACGGAGACCGTGGTTCCCATTTCCCCGTGCGTCCCGGTGAACGATCCTGCAGGCGCACAGCAGTGCATCTCCGGCGGGGCTCCCTCCAGCCGCAGGGACGGGAACACTCCCGGGATCCCCGGGCTCTCCTGCGGGAAGCGCTTCAGTCCCGGTGCTGAACCAGAGCACCAGCGGTGCCCCGCTTCCCTGTCCCTCCAGGCGGCCGGGGGATGGAGCCGGGCCGGGGGATGCAGCCGAACAGCATTCCCCCCTCAGCCTCCGTTCCCGCCGC